AAAACTATATCCGGAGGTTAGCAATTACAGCTTGGAGGACAAACTGACGCAGATTGAGAACCACTATAGAATATTTAAGAGGTGTTGAAATGTAGTATATACACACAGTAGAATAATATTCAGTGATAAAAACAATGAAATCTTGTCATTTGTAGCAATACAGTTGGAACTAGAGGACATTATTTATGTTAAGTGAAATAAGTTAGGTACATTAAAGACAAATGTCACATATTGTGGAAGGTAAAAAGCTGATCTCAAAGAAGTGGAGAATAGACTAGTGGTCACAGAGACTGGGGAGGGTGTTGGGGTGGAAGGAATGGAGAGAGGATGGTTAATGGATACAGGGATGTAGTTGGACAGCAGGAAAAATTTCTAATATTCTACAGCACCATAGGATAACTATGGTTGACAACAATTAATTGAATATCTCAAAGTACCTAGCAGAGAGGATTGAGTGTTCTGAACCCAAAGAAATGATATATGAGGTGATATAGGTATACCCTAATCTGATCACTACACATTGTTTACATGTACTGAAATGTCACACTGTACCCTATAAATATGTACAATTACCACGTGTAAATTAATGATAAAAATACATTTTAAGAAGTGGGTGGACACTTCTGGGTTTGGGATGAGATGGGGCAGGACAACTGGTAACTTCTAAGCTTCAGATGCACATCAATTCTAGTAGAACTTCTTTGGCAGTGATCTACTGAGGATTAGCTAAGGCACACCTGTTCCCTATATTGACTAGCATAGTTTCTGGAGTCAGAAAGAGTGCCCAACATGTTAGAGAATGTCAGATAATCCTTATTCTTCTACTCCTATCTTCTTTTTAACTTGCATATTAACTTGCATTTGATACTGCTGTTGAACAAAATACTGACTCCTGTAGTGGGAAATAGAGATTATGGATTTTTTGTCATATACTAAAAATAAAATCTGTTAACAGATCATTGGAACTTTTTCTAATTAATGACAGAAAGGCTAGTTTAGGACGAACTCTTCTAAAACCAAAACTACCATCCTTTGTTGAATTCCATCTTATTTGTCTCATCTTGTCCACTTACTTCAAAAATTATACAAGTAAAGCCATTTAGTACCGTGGGATTTTAAGGAACCACTAATTTGATTTAGAAGGTTCATAAACAAATTCTACAGCTCAAAATTAGGCGTTCGTTGGGCATTTTACTCAAGTTTTTAAAATATGGCCAAACAATAGGTAACACTCACTTTAAACTTTTTTCACGCTAAACTTTATGTTTCAGGGCACAGATAGTGTAACCTTTGTCGTCTTTGCCACTTTACCTCCTCCCTCAACCTGACTGAAATTCTGGGGAAGGTAGTTCAGAGTCTCCAAACAGAAAGACAAAAGGGGAAACAATACTGAGTTATGCTTTATATTTCCTACCTAATAAAAGAAATATCTCTCAGTAAGGATTAATTTCCTTCTTACTGTCAGAATCTGTAACAAACCAGAGACACTGGAAGGGACTTCTATTAGCCAGAGGCCAAATTTCTTGACCTCTTCCTCTACGATAGCAGGACGTTAAGTATTTCAGGCAGAAGGTCCCTACAACTAGTTTAGGAAGGCTGAACAAGCCTGGGTGGGCACGCTGTACACGTTAAAGCATGGAGCAGTTGTCACTTGTTTGTCCCCCTCCATAGCAGGAGGTGGGTGTAAGAGAGCGCCTTTCCCGCTTTCGGTGAACCTAGCATTTGGAGCGTCTGTCGGTGCCTCGCTCTCCCAAATAGGGACCACAGTTTCCCTCCTGGCCCCATTGTAGCGCACCCAAAGCTCGAAACCAACGGAGCGAGACAAAACCCAACCATTCTGAGCAGTCTGGCGGGCAGCGGAATTCTTGCAGAGGGAAGGAAAAGCACAAGATTCTGTTCCAACGCTTTACATGAGATGAAATTTTGACACGCCCCTTTCCCACCAACCAATCAGCATTTAGCTCAGTGGGTTGGACCCGTTGATTCCGGGAGATCGCCTTTTAAATTTCATTAGTGCAGCTCTCTTCTCTCCTCCCCCAGTCATTTTAGGTCATTCCTTGTACTTCATTGCCTTAAAAGAGGAAAACTGTAATAATTCCAAAGCTACTCAGTCTTGCAGAACTCTAGAATTCTGCCATTAAACCCGTGGATTCTAGGAGGAACAGGGAAAGTGAACTGAGGGTTCGAGAAGATAAACTACAACTCCCAAGGGGCTGTGCGCGGAGCCCGCGCACTCAGGGAAAAGGGCCGGGGCGCGGGAAGGCGGAAGGCCGAGGGTCACGGGACTTCCTGAACGGGCGCCAGTAAGTGGGCGGGACGTGGTTGGGCACAGCGTCTGTAGCGTCCGCTCTGGAGCTTCGTGTCCTCCTCCCTCCAGCTTCTCGGCCTGAGACGTCGGCGGGGGCGTGGCCAGTGCGGAGGCTGGTGGGCGGGGGAGTGCGAGCGTCGCGGGACGTGGGTGACGCGTCTGCTTCCAGCTCAGCGGTGTGTGAGGTGTCGCGGCCCCGCCAGCGATTGGCTGTTGAGAGGAGAGTACCCGGCGGCCGTTGGTCGCCCGCAGCACGGAGCGAGGGCCGGGGAGGGTGGGGGGGATATGGGGCGGCAGCGGCAGGAGGAGGCGGGCGCGGACGAGCCGGAGGCCCCAGCAGCAGCAGCAGTCCCCGGAGTCTCCCTGTAAAGCGCCCCGGTCCGCGCCGCTGTGGGCCCCTCGGAGAGGGCGGCCTGGACGCGAGCCACTGCCGAGCCGTTCCCCCAGCGCCACAGCTCTTCGGACTCTCGGTCCCATCCTCGCGCTCCTGCTCAGGCTCCTCCATCTTGGCCTTGGCAGTGGCGGCTGCCGGGAGGATGTGCCGCCTTCTGGCAGGGGGAAGAAGGAGGAGAAGATGAAGAAGTATCGGCGGGCCTTGGCCCTGGTCTCTTGCCTGTCTCTCTGCTCCCTGGTGTGGTGAGTAGCCGCGATCTCACGGGAGTTTCCGTGGGGGCAGCGCGAGGGGAGGGAGTCGCCCAGGTCACACCCCCAAGTCATCTTGGTGTGGCGGGTGCGGGTCTCTAAGGCCCCCCGAAAGTAAGGCTCGAACCCACTTCCACTAACCTGGCAGCCCCCTGTGCGGAGATTTTGTAAATTTGCAAAGTGGGAGAAAGGGGGAAGAGAGGGCATCCCCGAGCGCCTTTGTGCTCAGTCACTTGGAGTTGGTGCGCTTTGGGGTGGCGTTGTGATGTGTTGGTGGTGGGTAAATTGCTTCGATTTACCGCCGTTATTTGTGTTTCTAGTGTGGTCAGGGCATAAAGCACGTCAGGTGTGATTTGTTCCAGACCTGCGCTTGTGAAAACGCGAGCCGTCATGCGGTAGGAGTAACGTATAAACAGTAGTTCTCCTGGACATTTCTTGCATGATCTTTGGCCCCGAGTACACTGAGACCTGCTCTTCTTGGAAACTTTGGGGAGCACTTTTTTATTTGGCTTAGATGTATTGTGTACAGTAGTTTTTGTCAATGTCCTTGAGTAATGGAAGGGTAAATACCGTATTTTGCAAGCGGTATACCAGTGCTTTGTCCCTAAAGCCTCAGGGAGTTTCTGTTAATTTCAAACACATTTGGAGTTTATTTTTGAGGAGCAGAGAGAGCTTGTAAGAAGGAATGCTGTCAGTGTGCTTGGAAAAGCCATTCTTTTATTTGGTGACTGAAAAGGTAGCTTTTCAAGTCAAAGCGGTTTTTTATATTAAAATATAGACAAATTGAGTTTCTTGTTTAGCTTATTTCTGCAAAGCACCAACAATATTTTCATTTTCATGGCTACCTAAAGGAATCCAAAGGCACTGAAGGTGTAGAGTTGTTGTTTTCATCGAATATATAAACAAGGGGAAAAGAAAACACTTGTCTGCCTGAGTAATTTGGATTGGAAGGATGATAAAGACTTTAAAGAGCAAAAAGTTTGGCCTCTTGCCTTTCATTTTGAATCCTTTAGATAAAACCAGTGAATCCATTGACACCACTTTAAGTTTAAATTTGTAGGTAAAATACTGAAATCTTGTAATGGTTTTCCAGGAAGCCACAGAGTTGTTTGTACATGATTTATTTTCTTTCTCCTCTCTCCTTGGTCTCGCCCATCCTGGACCATGTTATTCTTCATCAGCGCTTGCTGAAATGGCTGATAAGGCACAGGTTACACTTCTCATTCAAGCTTAAAATGCACCAGTGTTTATGATTTTTTTTTTTTTTAGTTAGATGGTGGAAAGGAAATCAAGCATTAGAATGTGTTTCATTAAATTTATTTGCAATTTTAAATTAACCATGCTTCTATTGTTTTGGAGAATTTTTGGTTGTCTTCCCTTAATGTATTTTCTTAACTTCATTCTTTAGCAGTCATGACAAGATCATGATCTACCTGCGTGGGGGTGGGGAGAGGGAGGGAATCAATTTGCCTAGTATTGAAAATAGGAGTCACAAAGTTCTATAAAGTTTTTTGACTTCCAAAGTGAAAAATGGATGCTGAGGGTTTAAGAAAAGAGTGTAAAACTTTTAAGAGACTTCAGTTTAATAAACAATTGGATTAGTATGTTTTGAGATTTGTTTGGGCTGCCAAACAGAGACATTTTAATTATTCTTTTGCGAAGCTATGAAATGCACTACAATAGGATATTTAGGTTTGAGCTTTGTTGGAAAGATGATGGCAAATGAGATTGGAGAAGGAGAGTGGTGCATGGTGATGATTGGCAAGGGTATATTTTGTTCTTTTGAGATATCTTCCTTGGAAAGTTGGTGTTACAACACTGCCTTAACCAGAGGTCTAACTTTGGTGTGCTCTAGTCGGGTTTGTCATCTCTCATCATTTGCATTCCACTTAACAGAAATGGGTGGCTTAAGCCATTGTAGGGCTTAGGCAGAAGGTTTGCAAAAGACTCAATGAACTTCTCTTTAGTACCCATTTTGATCTTGTCATTCAGAAATTGTCCCAAAATTTTGTGACCCATTTCTATTTTGTGGATGGAGTACTATATGTTTATACTACAATATTTCAGTTTCTAAAGTTTTCCCCTGTATCCTACCAATATTCAGAATTTTGTTAACATTTTATATTGTCATAATCTTACAGATCTTGATTATATCTCCTTCCGCTTCTGTCTTTCCTAGAGTACTAACCTTAGATTACCTTCACAGAAAAACCATTGTATCTTCCCCATTGTTCATTCTGGTTGCTATTTTTTCTATTTTTCATGCTTTATATTTTGATTCTTGATTAAGTAGTACAGAGTATTGTAGGTATAAATGCACTGTAGTTGCAGAAGAGGTATGATAGCTAATGTGTATTGTGAGCCATCTTTGTGTCAGCCATGTGGTGTGTACTTACATCTTAGAACCTTTAGTTGTCACAAAACCCTGTAAGGTAGATATTATTAACTTCACTTTACTTTTTACAGATGAGTAAGTAGAGAGGTTAAGTAACTTGGCCAAGGTTAAGCAACTATTAAGTTTTGGAGCTTAGATGTGAACCTAGGCAGCCTGACTCATAATTCAGGCTTCTGACTACCGTGATCTTCCTAGAAGGCCTGTATTATAGGTGTGGTACCACTACTTACTAGATAGGGCTCCTTGGACATGTTACATACTCCTTTGAACTTTAGTTCTTACATCCTCAGAATGGCAAAACCTATCCATTCGTGCTGTTAATAGGAGAAGGAAATGAGGAATCACGTAAGACATATCTTGTAAAACAGAATAGATTATCTATGTATTTTATTGTAAATCATTCAACAGAGATTTTTCTCATGCTTGTGGTGTGCCAGATGTTATGATTATTGAAAAACTAGAGTGACCAGCTCATCTTGGTTTTTAGCACTTGGTTTTTAGCACTCATATCTCAAGAAGCCTCTGGTTGGTTTTCTATTGTTATGTAACAATTTACCACAAATTTAATGGCTTACAGTACACATGGTCTTACAGGTCTAAGGTCAGAAGTCCCAAATCAGTCTCTTTGATCTAAAATTAAGGTGTCAACATGACTGGTTCATTCTGGAGGATCAAAGGGGAGAAGCTATTTCTTTTGACTTTCTTAATTTCTGGAGGCTGTTTGGATTCTGTGTCTCTTTCCTCACATTACTTCAGTCTATTGCTTCAGTCTTCACATCTACTAATGACTGACTTTCCTGCTTTTTCCTCCCTCTTATATCACAGGGACTCTTGTGATTACATTGGGTCCAGCCAAACCATGCAGGATAATTTTCCTAACTCAAAATCCTTAATTTACTGAGATCTGCAAAAGTCTGTTTTACCATGTAAAGTACAATATTCAAGGATTGGAGATGCAGCGTTCTTTGAGGCAGGGGTGCTGTTATTCAGTCTATCATACTCACTCAAGTCCTGGACATACTGGAAAAATTGATCATCACTCTGAAGAGGAAAAAGACTTGATCCATGACTTAATTAGTGGATATTTTGATTGTGTTCCCTAATTAGTAGAACTTTGTGCATACACCTTTAATGTGTGCTTAATAATTTATGGAGTATATACATGTGCCAAAATGACATTAATATACATTATAAATTATACAAGTTAGATGTTTAAGAAAGATGAAAAAGATATTTTCTTTTAACAGTAACTTCTGCTTAAAGTAGTAATAATTGTTAGTGAGAGCTGTGTGATTGGCCATCTAGATTATTTTATATCATAGTGTAGGTGAGGAATAGTCTGTACTGACAAGCAGCCTTTTCACTTTCACAATTATTGGCTTGTGCTTTTGTTATTATCTTTGCTGCCTTCGCAGGAATTTTTGTTTTAAACTATTCCCATGTCATGAGGGTCAGTTTAGTTAAAACTAAATAATCCCTAAATCCACTTAACTGGGCACATATTAATTACAGTGAATCATAGTGTGCCAAAAGTAAACTACGACTTGTAGAACTTCCACTTTTTCCTTGGTTCTTAATGTGTGCCCAGCTGATCTTCAGACCAAGTATGAATCTTAACGTTAATCTTAGTAAAGCTTTATTTTTTTTTGTACTAAACAAATCTTTTCTTCCTGGACCCCCAAAGAATTATTTTAGAGAAGCTAATATTTACATTAATGGGAAGAGCTTGGCATTTAAGCAATTCTGATATATTTGACAAAGATAATATATTTTAACAAATATATTTTGATAAATATAATAGAGGTACCTAGAAAAGACTTTAGAATGCCAAAGGAAGAATTTGTATTCTAGCTATGAGTCTTTTACTAATTGTGTACTCTTGGACAGGTTATTTCTGTGCTTCTCAGTTCTCATTCACAAATTGTTTTTAGAATGGATAGTTCAAGATGAGAGAGTTGCGTTTCTGGCAGAGGGAACATTTTTGTCCATTTATCTAGAGTATAAAGATGTGGGGAGAGATGGAAAGGAAGGCTAGAGTGAGGTTTTTGAAGGGATTTGATTATTGGTCCAGTGGCCTGTGATTGTAACCTGACGTACAATGAGTAAGTAGACTTCAAGAAAGTGAGGTCAGACTGATCTTTTCATTGTATTACCATAGAGGGGTAGAATGGATTGGAAGGGACAGATTTTGGAGACAGGGGGCCCTAAGTGGTGGTCATACTAGGAGAGAGTTGATAGATGTCTAAGTTAAGGCGTGGACCTTTTTGACCTTAAAAGTATGTCAGTCCACTTTTCATTGAATGAAGGGGTTTATTTCCTCGTTTGTGATTGTATCTCTGTACTCCTTATTTTACTTTTTCTTTGATGATTTTGCAGGTTTTTTGTTTTGTGCTTTTCTCCCTTTCCTTTCCTTCTTTCTTTTTTGCAGTACTATGATTTGAACTTGGGGCTTCCCAGTTATTAGGCCAGATGCATTACTGCTTGAGCCAGTTTTTTTTTTAATGTTTTTATTCACTTATTCACATGTGCATAAGTTATTTGAGCTATTCTTCCACCCCTGCCCCCCACTCCCTCCCTCTCCGCCCCACCCCCCCTTGCT